TGACATTTTTATGATTTTTTTGGTGATATGCTATACTATGACATTTTTATGATTTTTTTGAGGTGACATACTATACTATGACATTTTTATGAATTTTGAGGTGACATGCTATACTATGACATTTTTATGATTTTTTTGAGGTGACATACTATACTATGACATTTTTATGATTTTTTTGAGGTGACATACTATACTATGACATTTTTATGATATTTTTGGTGACATGCTATACTATGACATGTTTAACAACATTATTATAGTATATACTATAATTGTTATTAACTTTTATATGACTTTAAAATTTCATAGGCTTACTGTATTATAAATTCACATATTGCATACTACAATATGACTTTTTGTTATGACATTTTATTTATTACAGTTCCTTATTAGTTAGTATATTATGCCTTTTTATGACATAAACATACTACATTATGAAATCATTCATGGCATACTTCGCTATGTTTTTTTGTTATGACAAACTAATATGAAATTATTTATGGCATTCAATACAATGATATGATAACCAAACTATGTCTTTTTCATTACCTGTTTTATGATATTTTTGATTAACTATGATGTGGAAATTTGAATGATACTATTACTTCTTTTAAGACATTTTTGCAACATACTTTCTATGAGTTTTTATGTGCGTTTTTTTTAATGGCCTATCAAATTTACATGAAATATAAACAAATATGAATTAGAAGATACACCGTGTAATTCAGAAGTAAATTATCGTAATCAATGCTGGATTAGAAGGATTTATGTTTCATAAAATGTAAAAAAAGAAAACGCCAAGTCATTTCTTTTCCCCAGCAGAGATCTTTAACTCAGATAATCCTAGTCTTCTTTCTATGTGGAATGGGATTTCACACAGCTAATAAACCATGCCTCATGTCTTCCTCTAATGACTGGAAATCTGTGGCAGATCACAGCAAATTTACTGCACTAAACCAGTTTAACATCAGAACGTCTTTATATGCATGAGAGGCAGTGAGGAGGAGGAAGAGGAGAAAGTGGTGTTGGAGGAAATAATCAAGAGTAAAAGTTCTCTATGAATATATGCATTGTAGAACAACATTATGAGATACTAAGTCTAACGTTGGGGCGGCACGGTAGTGTGGTGGTTAGCACTCTCGCCTCACAGCAAGAGGGTTGCCGGTTCGATCCCGGGCGTGGGAGCCCTTCTGTGCGGAGTTTGCATGTTCTCCCCGTGTCAGCGTGGGTTCTCTCCGGGCACTCCGGCTTCCTCCCACAGTCCAAAGACATGCAGATTGGGGACTAGGTTAATTGGTAACTCTAAATTGTCCGTAGGTTTGAATGTGAGTGTGAATGGTTGTTTGTCTCTATGTGTCAGCCCTGCGATAGTCTGGCGACCTGTCCAGGGTGTACCCTGCCTCTCGCCCGATGTCAGCTGGGATAGGCTCCAGCACCCTGTGACCCTCAAGAGGATGAAGCGGTTAGAAGATGAATGAATGAATGAATGAAGTCTAATGTTATGTTTTAGGAAGACAAAAGCATAAGTTACTTTTTTAAACTTTGTACACTAAATTTGAGAGATAAATCGAGTTTGACTTGATACAGACAATTACTCGTAAACTTTATTCTAAAAAGTCAAAACTATGAGCCAAAACTTTCACTTCCTACTAAGTTTGAAATTCCATCAGTAGTTTATTCTCCTCATTTTCAACACATCTAATCTAATCTGATCTAATCTTGGCAGAGATGCTTCTGTAGCCTGCAGGTATCAGGAAGTTGTCACATATACACAATGACACCTGGGAACAGCAGTCAAACAGACCAAAAAACACAAGACAGGCAGGCAGGTGTTGTTCTGCTAATGCACAGTTTGTACTTTTTATTGTTGCCTCATTCACTAAACAGTTCAATGGTGCAAGATTACCATACACAGAATTAGGATATCTGCATGACACATCTATGCTATACAGCGAATGGATTATAATTATTACAAATACAGTAAACATATTTACATTTTAATTCAAGCTCCATACAACACAGATATTTACAAAATAAGTATGAAAATGAAACCAGTCTGACAAATAATGTACAGTGTTGATGTTGTGGGTTTGTTTGTTTGTTTGTTTTGTTTCTTTCGGTGAACAGATCCAAAGGAAACGCAGTTAACTGATATTAATTGTCAGAGGGGAAGATGGAAAATATCATGGCTAGTTTTGTTTCGAAAGGCATCAACGGAAAAAAGAAAAAGTGTTGAGGTGAAGAAAGACACCAGCACAACAATAGTATACTGTCATTTTAGATGTCACTAGCTACTTTGTATTATATTCCCTGATATTAGAGAAAAAACAAAATGAGTTAAAAACCACCCTTGTTTTGTTATAACTCAAGTGGCTGGCTAGCATGAGTCGTGAGTAAATATTCTTCAAATCAAAAAGCAGACTGTCACTCAAACCACTTTCTACTAAAGAGGAAGCACTAATGTAACTCACCTCCCCTGAAAAAGATGCAGCGGGTTACATTTTAGTTCTCTTTCTAAACGATGGAAAAACACACACCTTCGTAGTACATTCAACGCTCCCCCAGTTCGGACTGGGAGAGGCTGCCACACCATCATTTGGTTCACTCTGAGTAGAACAACTAAACCGCACAGACTTTATTTGATCAGTTAGTTGAACCTTTTATTAATATGTGCAAAGAGCTGCAAACTAATATATACATTGCAAACAATAAATACACAATCCAAAATAATAGACCTCTGCAAATTAGTCAGTGAAGTGAAAATGTTTGCTCTGACAGGTCTTCGTATCTCTGATATCTCTTACAGTACGCTGGGGTTAACGTGAGGTACGATGCACTTGGAGCCTTGGTCAGTGCATAGATGCTTTTTCTCTTTAAGACAAAACATTTCTCAGAAACAGGTTTTTGTTTCCCTGACCAGCAGGTTGGCCGACCCGAGGGCAGAGAGACGTCTGACTTCCGAGGCAAATGTTTTCTGTCTTTACATCAGCAAACAATGAAGATACGTCACCAACTTGTAACAGGCGATGGCTGCCTCTGTTTCAACACCTTCAACCTTAATGTCTCAGTCATGACACAGCAGGCGTACAACTGGTTGGCTGGCCAGTTTTTAATGCCCGTCTGTGCTCATCACACTTTTCTACCACGTGAAGAAACAGAGGCATAACTCATCAGGAGCCAAATGTAGCAGCTGTGATGTCCAGAGCAAATATTTTCATAAACAATATCAGAAATAAAACCTTTTGAGCATATGTCGTCCCTTTAACATCACTTTCCTTCTCTCTCGTAAACAGCTATCCAGTGTAGCCTCGATATGTGCTCTTATCCTGATACTCAGAAATAATCTTGGACTCATCGTGTGTGACCTGCCCTCGTCTTGCTATAGATATGTGTTAATGTGCAAAATAAGGTTAAACACCAGTAGAGCTGGT